ATCTATTTATTCATCTCTATCTATCTCTCACTTCCTTTCCTTTCTCCCCATCATTTTCTCCCTCCCTTTCCATAAATATGAATATGTTAACATATACCCATTTCTCTCTCCCTCTCATCTTCTTTCCTTTTCCCTTCCCTTTCCCTTCCCTCCCTTCCCCCTCCCTTCCCCTTCCCCCCCTCTCCTTACCTTGCACGGCGCCGCCCCTGTCGCTGGCGTGGGCGTCGAGCAGCGTGGGCGGCAGGGCGTGGCTGAAGGCGGCGATGGGCAGGGGCGTGAGCAGGTGGTGCGCCTCCACCTTGGTCTCGGGCGTGAGCATGAGGGTGACCTCACGGCCGCCCACCTCGCCCGCGTAGAACACGCGCTGCCCGACGCTCGCGACGGCGTCACCGCGCACGCCCACGTCCGCCCAGCGCCGCGCGCGGGCGGCCTCCTCCAGGCCGGGCGGGCACAGCGAGCTGGAGAGCTGCGTGCAGAGAGGGCTGGTTACGGCGCGCATCGTAATCGAAACAGCAATAGTAATAATAGGAATTCAATAAGAACAATAAAAAACAAAAACAATAATACCAGTAATAACAACAACATCACGAATGGCCAAGCCCACCTGATCGAGCATGTTGGCGAGGGCGTCGTGGTTGGCGCTGACGACGGCGCCGTACTGCGCCTCCAGGCTGCGGTCCGCCAGCGCCGACCCGCGGCGCGCACTCACGAGGCCCGTCTTCCTCTCGGCTGAAGACGGGGCGGAGGGCGCGGCCGGGAGCTGGGGGGGAGGGGGGCCAGTGTTAGCGAGGGCTGAGGGTCGGGCTTTGAGGCTGTGGTTAGGTTGGCTCATGATAAAGGCGCCGAAATGGTGCTGGCGACGGGAAGGGCTAAGCGTGAGCTCATGGCGAGGCACGATTAGTGGCAGGGGTTTTAACAAGAAGGTCTAAGCCAAGTGCATGATAACAGGGACGATCGTGACGCTTAGTAAAATAGTAAAATTAAGAATTTGAACAAAATAATTTGAAAAAAAAAAAAAAAAAAGGAAATCAAACCGCCACTCCACTTTCTCATAAGATAAACACCACAGGAACAGTGGCACTTCCTCGGCACCGAGTGGCACTCGAGGGCCTCTCACCTGCTCGTTACTGGCACCTGTTGATGAGCCGACGGGGATCTGCGTCACCTGGAGAGGCAGGAGGCGAGGTGGAATAAGTGATGAGAACGATAATAATCATAATAATCTATAATAATAATGAAGGTGATGACGATGAAATAGTAAAAATAAAGATACTGATCATGATGATGACGATGACGATTACTAAAGCTACTATCGTTATCCTCATTGTCATCATTATGATCATAATAATTATGATCATTATCGTCATCATTATTGGTACTAATTTTGTTGCTTTCAACGTTATCACCAAGCATACCATGATTACGTAAATAATAATGACACAGAAGATCGGAATCAACGCCTCTTACCATATCAAGAATAAGCAAAAAAAGGAGGGAAAAAACACAGAAGAAAAGCCGGAACCGAAAGAACTGAAAGAAGAAGAAGAAAGGGAAGAAGAAAAAAAAAGAGAGAAAAGAGCGCAGACGAAGCCGGAAGCGAGAGGATCGGAGGACGCCGCTGGAGATCCCTGTGTATGGATCCGTACGAAACATTTTTTTTATTTTTTATCCAATATATTCAAGATGTTTATGTTTTCTCCGCGATTTGACTTATACTTGACACAGTTAGTTAGATGTTTATTTAGTCATTTATTTATTTATTCATTCAGTGGATTTATTTGTTTATTGAAGGATGAAAAGGGGATATTTTAGGAACGATGACAGGAGAGGAGAAGAGACAGCTGAAGGAGGGAAGGGCAGGGGAGCGGCAGGAGTGGGAGGAGGAGGACGAGGAAGAAAGAGAGGAGGAGGAGGAAAAGGAGAAGGAGAAGGAGGGAGAGGAAATGGAGGAGGAGGAGGAAAAGGAGAAGGAGAAGGAAGAGGAAAGGGAGGAGGAGGAGGAAGAAAAGGAGAAGGAAGAGGAGAGGGAGGAGGAGGAGGAAGAAAAGGAGAAGGAGGAGGAGGAGGAAAAGGAGGAGGAAGAGGAGGAGGAAAGGGAGGAGGAAGAGGGAGAGGAAAGAGAGGAAGATGAGGAAGAGGAAAGGAAGGAGGAGGAGGAGGAAGAGGAAGAGGAAAGGAAGGAGGAGGAAGAGGAAGAGGATAGGGAGGAGGAGGAGGAAGAACCCGAAGTGCAGGCGTGAGTTCCCGGGCAATGGCTCTGGATGCCAACATACCCCGTGGCACTTCTCCGAGTGCCACCGACCTGCAGACCGACATGAAGTGCCGGACATCACCAAACCTGCCCTTGGGAAAACAATGCCAAAAAACAAACAAACAAACAGGGCCAAGCAGTGCCTCTTCCCCTTTCCCACCAAACACGAAAATTGAAACATATTGAGTGCAAAAAACCAAGTGCCAAGGAGTGCCCAGTCTGATAAGCGTTAGGTGCTAAAGTCACTGGCGGGTGTTAAGGTTGTCCCAGACCCAGTGCCAGATGTCAAGAGAGTGCCAGGTAAAGTGCTGTGTGCCAAGTCATTGCCAATTCAGTGCTAAACCAAGTGACAATGTCATGTCAGTGCCAATTTAGTGCTAAACAAGTGCCAGGTGTCAAGGTAGTGCCAACTCATGTGCCATATGTCAAGTCAATCATGTGCCACCCGAGTGCTTTGTGTCAAGTCAGTGCCAACCAAGTGTCAACCGAGTGCTTTGTGTCAAGTCAGTGCCAACCAAGTGTCAACCGAATGCTTTGTGTCAATTCAGTGCCACCGAGTGCCAAGCGCGTGCCAGGCTCACCTGGGCGGGGATGATGTATCCGTCGAGGGTCAGGATCTCCTGGTGGGCCTGCTGGGGGAGGGGGGGGCGGGGCGGGGCGGGGAGGGGCTCCTCGTAGTGCCCGGGGGAGGGGGGGCGCAGGCTCTCGTACTGGGGGGGGAGGGGGGAGGGGGGAAGGGGGGAAGGGAGGGTTGGTTAGTATGGCTGGCGAGGAAGCAGTTTGTTCGGTTGTTTGTGTGTGTGTGTGTGTGTGTGAGTATGGGTATGTGCATGGGTGTATGTATGAGTGTGTGTATATGTATGCGTATATGTATGTGTATGTGTATGTGTATGCATATGGGTGTGTGTATGTGTATGCGTATGGGTGTGTGTATGTGTATGTGTATGTGTATGTGTATGCGTATGGGTGTGTGTATGTGTATGTGTATGTGTATGTGTATGCGTATGGGTATGAGTATGTGTATATATAAGTATGTGTATGTCCATGTGCGTAGTCTCCGTGTATTCGTCTGCGTCGGTATGTGCGCGTTTCCATATATCATCTATCTGTATGTAATCATGTCTCATGTACGTGTGTGTGTTCGCGCATCTGCATAAGTGGATTCACGTGGATTCATCTGGATTCACGTGGATGGATGTCAACAGAAGGTCGACGAACGGAAATGCCTTTGCTCTCTCTATTTTCTTGGAATGTCAACACTGAGGAAATGTCCGCCAGTCAGATTGCATTAGAGATTAATTGACTAAAAACATAGAAGAATATGATAGTGGAATCAAGAATCGGGAAAGAAAACGAAAAGTATGGTATAAATATATGTACACACGCACTCATACGTTCATAAATATATACATACAGTCAAACACACAGAGTGAGAGTGAGAGAGAGAGAGAGAGAGAGAGAGAGAGAGAGAGAGAGAGAGAGAGAGAGAGAGAGAGAGAGAGAGAGAGAGAGAGAGAGAGAGAGAGAGAGAGAGTGTGGGGGGGAGAGAAAGAAAACAAACAGATAGAGAGGGAAGAGAAATACAGAGAGAATAGAAACTTGAAAGTGAAAACAACAGTTGAATTTGAGCCAAAGAAAAAAATAAAAACAATAAAAATCAATTTCCTCATTACAACAAGAACAGCAGCAACAACAGCAACGACAACAAACACAAAAAGACAAAACAAATATCTACATAAAGACCACAGAAGAGAAAGCCAAATCACTTAACTACGTGTTAATGTGGATGTAGTTATTTAATGCAAATATCTACAAAAAGAAACCCTGCCCTTCGTTCCCAGCCGACACCGTCCTCGAAACACCACAGGAAACTATGGCAACAACAACAATTGCAATAACAGCAGAGAAATAACAACAGAGATAGCTGGAACAATAACAACAACAACAATAACATAAAAATAACAGAAATAACAACTGCAACATCAAAAGCAACAATGATAACATAAAATAACAGAAATGACAACTGTAACCACAATAACAACATAAAAATAACAGAAATACCAACAATAACAAAATAAAAATAACAGCAGAAATAATAACAACCAGAAGATGCCCTCTGTTCCACAACCCCGAGAAACTAACCAAACAACTGGAGGAAACTAACTGTAAGAAAAGGAACTGGAAAGATGGCAAGAAAAAAAAAGAAAGAAAGAAAAAAGAAAAGAAAAGAAAAACAAGAAACAACGAGAGAACAGCCACAGAAGAACTAACTACGAGAAAAATAGCTTGAGAAACCGTCCTGATTCCACCCCGGGCGCCGAGGACTCCCAACCCAAGAGGGAAGCCACTTGGGCAGCCGGCAGCCGGCCACAATTCGAGGCAAATGACATCAACAGACGAAGAAACAACCCGGACGGCGCAGCGAGTGAAGGGAATTCCAAGGAACCGATATTTTGAGCAGGAGACATCGCAAACAACAGGAAAACAGTGCTTGAAAAAATAATAACAAGGATAAAAACAAAGAATAATAACAAACAAAAAATGATAAAGAATAATAGAAAACAATGTATGTGTGTCTGCGTGCGACATCCTCTCGCACGCAGACAAAGGTACCCTCTCGCACGCAATCAAAGACACCCTCTCGCACGCAGACAAAGACATCCTCTCGCACGCAGACAAAGGTACCCTCTCGCACGCAATCAAAGACACCCTCTCGCACGCAGACAAAGACATCCTCTCGCACGCAGAC